ATTTCCTCCCTAGTTACATATCACACTTCAATTTTATTATATAATAGGATTTTAAAAATCTAACTTACTTTTTTTTTTAGTCTTTGGAAGCTAAAACCCTGTCAGTCAGACTCAATTTCTGCTTTTTAAGCATTTGCTCAATTCATGGGCAGATTGAGCTCCTGTTGAAATGACACAGGAAGGTCCTCCATTAACTGAAATGTGAGTTGCATGGATGAGGGGTTTGAATTTAAAGAATATTTTCAAGGTTTTTCTAAGATAAATTGTTAGCATCTTCTACAAAAACAGAACAATGCTGGTACTATGGCAAAGATGGGCTAGGTTTTGCTGCTGGTAAACTGCATAATTATGAGAATTAAGCATTTTTCTGTACTAGAAGAAAAAGAAACTGCTGAATGTAAGAACTCCTGCTGGTTTTCTGCTTATTGTCAGGGGCTACCTTTTTCTTAATCAAATCAGGTAAATGCTTTGCTGGTAACATACATGTATTGGATTCCTCCCAGCTTTTTCTTAGATGTGCAAATTTAATTGAATGTGGCATATCTTATGGGATATAACATTCTGGATAAACAGTTACAGTTTTTTGAGGGTTATGAAAAATCTCTAACCCCAGATGAGATACTCCTGAGTTTGAGTTTCACTCAAAGTATGAAGGGGGCGCACACATTCATTATATACTTTACCTATATGGTATAAAATTGCCAGTGATAAGGGGTAAAAATCTATGAAACTCCAACTTATGCAAGAAATATCTGCTGATATTGAAATTCACACACAACTTATCTCCGTGTTTTGAGGGAATTGGTTATTTCATTGATTTTAAAATTGTGTTAGAGTTGTGCACAGTTTGGGAGATGTGTGTTTACCAGAGCTGTTAACTCTGTACACCATTACAATATGTTATTTTCTGTAGTTACTATACACAGTAAAGCATTAGGTAAAGCACATAGGTTACTCCTTCGGCTGTTGTGAACAGAGCATCTGAAATTCCTTAAGGCTTGAGATGTATGGTTCCTTGCGGGTAGTTTTATTCTGTTCATTTACTGAAGCACATATGGATTTGCATAAAGTAGAAGTATATCTTTGTGTTTGTTTGCCTTTAATTGTATAGTAAAGTTTTTAGTCTTAGAATGCTTACAATCTTAATGTTTTTCTCCCTAGCTTATTATTAGCTGAGCCAGAAAAACAAATGGATATCACACAAAGTATTTTTGGCTCTACCACAAACCTTAGCGACTGGAGAATGGGTTGTTTGGGTGACTGATAATGGGCATCTTTACATGTGCTCTCAGGGTGGGGAGGGGGCTTTAATTAGAGCAGCTCTCAGGAGCCACTCTAATTAAAGCATCCACAGCATCTTGTGTATCTAGTGTTCCACACTTCAAAATGGCAGTGGGGGCGCTTTAACTAAAGCTTTTCCAACAAGCTGTAGTTAAAGCACTGCCACTCCCATTGTGAAGTGTGGGGATGTTGAATACATGAGACACTGAGGCTGCTGGAGCATGCTAATTAGATTTAATTAATTGAGTCTACTCCCATGTGCTGTAATTATAGCATGTGGGAGCAGGTGTCCAGCACATCTACAGGAACGCAATGGGTCCAAGGGCATTTGGGTGGTGGTTTGTTTTAAACCAAGGGTGGGCAAAATATGACCTGTGGACTGGATCCAGCGCACCAATTGGTTGTATACAGCCTATGGCTGCCCCCGTGGTGCTCCACGTGGGGCCAAGTCCCACCTGCACCCCCCCCCAGCACCTGCTGATGGCACTGCCCTGGACTTGGCCTCAGTCCCAGTCCCAGCCCTGGCCAGTATGCACAGCTTCCCGGCAGGGCTGCTGCCACTGCTACTGCAGCCATTCAGGGGCTGCTTGGCACCCCCACCTCCAGCAGCTCCTCCTCCTGCCCCTGCTTTGCGTCTCCGGGCAGCAGTTAGCATAAGGAAGCAATGGCAGGACAGGAGGACATGTGCTGGGCACCACACACCCAGCCAGGTGAGGGGGAAGTTGCAGCTGGGTGGCTCCTGCCCCAGTTTGTGGGGCTCCAGCTCTAGCTGTAGCTCTAGCTTCTGACTGCCTTCTGCCCACTCGGTCATCCAGCGCTATGAGCAGTCACCTGCGGGTGACCAAATGAGTGAGAGGCAGGCCCCCTGGGAAGATGTGCACACTGGCTGGGACAGTGCCATTGGTGGGTGCAGGTGGGAGTGCAGAGTGGGCTGCTCCAGGTGGGAGTGGGTGAGGCTCAGCCTCATGTGCAGAGCACCATGGGGGCAGCCACAGGCTAAATGGCAGGGGAGGGGGAATGCACCTGAACCACACTGCCTGGGCAAGATCTGCTGCACATGCTCCCTGTCCCCCTCCTTCTTTCCCTCCCACCCACCCCCCAGCTGGCTTCTGGGACCCAGCATGCAGGCAGCCCCACCATGAACTCCTCTATATACACTGCTTAAAAAACTGTCAATATGTAAAAAAATTATTTCTTGAAATCAAATTAAAATGTTATAGTAAGTGTTGGATTTTAGTATATAGTTTGTTTTTTGTCTATAACTTGTTAAAATAATATCTTCTGAAAGATTTTATGTGTGCAGCCCTCTGCATCTCACCAAAACTCATTAAGTGGCCCACCAGCCAAAATAATTGTCCACCCAATTTTTAACTCTAGCCTAACAGGTCCCAAACTGTGGGTTGTGACTACAAATGGGGTCACAACATCAACAGATGGGGTTGCGAGGTTGGGGAACTGTGGGTTGGAAGTGAGCTATTCGAGCACTCATGGTGCTCCGGTCAGGTCCCAGGGGACTGGAAAAGGGCTAATGTGGTCCCTATTTTCAAGAAGGGGAGGAGAGAGGAACCGGGAAACTGTAGGCCAGTTAGTCTCAGTCTCTTAGTTATCCTTGGGAAAACTGGAAAAAATCATTAAGGATTACATTTGTGGGAGCCCAGCAGGGGAAATTATGCTGAAAGGAAATCAGCATGGATTCATTGCAGGTAGATCTTGCCTGACTAACCTTGTTTCTTTTTATGACCAGGTCACACAACGCTTAGACACAGTAGTTGAGGTAGATGTCATCTACCTAGACTTTAAAAAGGCCTTCGATATGGTATCTCATTTTGTTCTCATAAATAAACTGACAGGCTGTGATGTAGATGATTACACATCATGTGGGTGGGTCAGGTGAGTGGCACACCCAAAGAGTGGTGGTGGACGTGTTGATGTTGACCTGGAAAGATGTGGGCAGTAGAGTCCTGCAAGGCTCAGTTCTTGGACCAGTGCTAGTCAATGTCTTTATCAGTGACTTGGATGAGGGCGTGAAGTGCACCCTCTCCAAGTTTGCAGATGATACCAAGTTATGGGGCAAAGTTAACACAACAGAGGGTAGGAAATGGATCCAGGCAGATCTGCACAGGTTGGAAAAATGGGCAGAACAAAACAGGATGCAGTTCAACAAAGACAAGTGCAAAGTGCTGCACCTGGGCAAAAAGAACCATCAACACACTTGCAGGCTGGGGGATGACCTTCTCAACAGCACAGCAGCGGAAAGAGATTTTGGAGTCATAGCTGACTCCAAAATGAATATGAGTCGTCAATGTGATGAAGTGATCAACAAGGCTAACCTCACTTTATCATGCATTAGCAGATGCACGATCAACACTGTCCAGGGAGGTGATGCTTCCCCTCTATGCGGCACTGGTTAGGCTGCAGTTGGAGTACAGTGTCCAGTTTTGGGCACTGCACTTCAAGAGAGATGAGGAGAATTTTGAGAGGGTTCAGAGGAGAGCCACTTGTATGGTCAAGGGCCTGCAGGCAAGGCCCTACAAAGAGAGACTGAGGGATCTAGATCTCTTCAGTCTTTGCAAGAGAAGGCTGAGAGGTGATCTTGTGGCTGCCTATAAATTCATCAGGGGTGGGCAGCAGGGAATAGGAGATGCTCTGTTTACTAGGGCACCCCCTGGAGTTAACTAGGGACAGTGGCCACAAATTGATGGAGAGCAGATTTAGGTTGGACATTAGAAAGAACTTCTTCACAGTAAGGGTTGCCATAATCTGGAATGGACTTCCAAGGTCAAGGGGTGCACTGGTGCTGTCAGGGGGTGCACATGCACCCCCGTGCACCCCCCTATGTGTCACCACTGTTGCATCTGATCTCTGTTTGGAGGCATGTGCAAGCCCTACTTTGATCTCAGGGGTCTAAATCACACAAGCTATCTGTTACATTTGACACTAATAGGCACTCATGGGAAACAGCTCATTCCTCTTCTGTCTTGCTAGTGGCAGTGTCAGGGAAATGAGAGAAAGTCTGTTCCATCACTTCCTGGGCCGTATCTTTCCCATGGATTAATGAAAGGTTCATTCCTAATGGCCACCACGCCAGTACTTCTGACAAATGCAAAAATCAAGGAAAAAAAACACGTTAATAACACATTATGCTTTAGACAATATTTTCTTTGGTAACCAAAATAGGTTGAAGGTTGTTGGTATCATAGATCAATGGCTGTTGGTACTACATGCTCATGATGGGGAACATTTTTTCTGACTGCTGTGCATGCAGAATTTGTCAGATATTGTTTTGGCATGATCTGGAAAACTGGCAAATGCAGTATATGTTCCTGAACATATGAAGGAACTTTTCCTTGTAGTACGTACTATTCGACCATAATAAGCATTTTCAGGATTTGGTCTTATAAGTTATTTTGGGCCCAGTCTATCAGAGCTTAAAATTCAACATGCAAGTACTTGCTTGAAGTCAGTGAGACATCTAATATGCTTAAGATAAGTATGTATTTAAGTGCTTTGCTGAGCAATCTAATGTGTGGCTAGCTAGAAAGCTTAAGATTAAGTGCTTTGATAAAGTCAAGATTGACAATGTTTTTGGGAAGGGACTGTTATACAGTGCCTTCTACAATGGTGCTTGGACTTTGCTGAGTTCTCTAGGCATTACCATGATATAATCATTTAATCATAATAAAAGTTGATATGCTGAAATGTTATTTCTCTCATTGTAGGAAGAACTCAAAAGGCTGCAGCATACCTTGGAACAAGTTAATGATGGCAAATATTTACTTGAAAGGTAAGGATGGAAAAGTTTGGAGTGATTTCCATATCACTGCACATGTGATAACAGGAAATTGCCTGGATATTGACAATAGATATATTTTTGGCTAGTACAACTGGGACTGTACAGTTTGATAGTGGCTAATTTGAATGTACATGCCACAGCTAGTACCTGGACTGACTGAATCCTGGGAGCTGGTATTTTGGATGTAATTTACACAACGACAAATACAAAACATATATGAGGAAGATGGTATAGTCTCATGCTTTAACAGATTCTTTAAGCAATGGCAAGTGCTTCAAAATGTACACTGTTTTATTTTAATCTGTATTTTCTACTTTATGTGGAGTCATCCTTTTTTTCTTGTCCACGTTCCATTTTTTGCTAAGTAATAGGTTGAAGATTTTTCTTACACCTCTTCCATAAAAATGATTCTTATTTATCATTATGAGAGAATAACTTCTGAAAACTTCTGGTGTTCAAATGAAGTAAGGTCTCAAAATAATAGCAGGTTGGAGGAAAAATCTTGGAAAATTTCTGACCAGAGTCTGTACACGTGCATCTAGTTTCGTGCAAGCCTACATCCCATTAGATGACTTTACCTCTTGTGAATATCTTCAGTTTTTTCTTTTTGTGTTTGCAGATGGTTTTATTAAAATGGTCATGCTATATAGCTTGCTTTTGTTGGCCATCTTCTTTTTGCAAAGAGTCTGTTTTTCATGTTTCTGTCTGTCTTCTACCAACGTGGTTAACTTGCTATTCAATGTTTTCATTTTACACTTCAGCTTTTCAAAAGTTAGTCTCTGGGATGAAAATTAAATTACCAGGAATATGGATTATAATTGCTGTAGTGTTTTATTGGCAACAGGTCCTTTCCTGGGTGTGTCTGTCTGTTGTAATAGCATCTAAAATGAAAAGGTCTTGTGTTGAAGTCCATATGGAGCTCATTGTAGGGTTGGGACTGATTTGAAATTCTAATTCTAATTCTTGCTTTAGTTAATATTTTAAGTGAGGTTGGAGACCAGGGCTTGCATCTACACCCGAGACAGAAACTTGTTTAAATAAGCAGCTCTAGTACACACTTGTCACAATTTCTAAATTAATATAAAGTCAGAGTTACTGTAAAAATGGTATGCTGAAATAGGTTAAAACAGATCATTTCTTTTTGTGTAGCCATCATCTTGCCATGGACGTAGAGAATAACATTGAAAAATACCATGACAACTTACAGCCTCTGGAAACAAAAGTGAAAATGTAAGTCATATAAAATGCTATATCTTTAAACATGGGTGAGGCCATGGAGTCAAATTTCTGTGGTGTTAGCTTTGGATTTTCAAGCAATTGAGAATTGACTGAAGGGTCCTAACTGTATGCTTACTTATTTTACTGAGGTCTGTCTTCAAACAAGTAGTTCCACTGAGTCATGGCTTTTACACTGTACTTGTTTCAGTTGCACTGATATTTGAGTTTTTTCCTTCATAAAATTAAGAAAATATTTTAGAACCTGACCGATAAGTGTATTTTAAAAATGCTGACATTCTAGAAAAGTAAGGAAAACATGGGAATGACAAAAGCCTTTTGGGTGTTTTTGTTTTGTTTTTAAATACACTGTAGAAAAAATGGGTGGTTACCTTAATGTTGCGTCAAGTAACCTCAGTGAACACCTTATGTGAATGTATGAGTTACTGTGCATTTACATAAAGAACTTTATTCATTATTACATTCTGTATTGGTTTTCTCTTTCTGTTAGTAAGGTACAGCTAATGTGTTTTAGAGAATATTGAAATATTAATTCATTAAAATATTAAAGGCTATGAAATTTCAGATTAAAATCTAATAGGTTTCTCTTAATGATACAAATATTGGTTAGATGGATCAATACATTTCCAAGTGTTTTCTGGAAGGTATGTATTTTTTAAACCTTATTCGCTATGATTTTAAAAAGGGGAAGTACATGTAAATGTGTTTTCTTGTTAAAAAAAATAAAATGCATGAAAATGCATGAGTAATATGAATAAGATATAAATGTTTTATGTGAAGTTATGACTTTTTTAAATAATAACTTTTACAAAGCATTTATTGAAATCTTCTTGAATAACATGCAGATTTGAAAGTATTTGAATCATTTTACGAGTGCTGGAGTTTCTAAACTCCAAACCAATTATATTTATCTCTCTAATGCCAAAGCATTTAGAAACTAGGGGTGCCAAAATGGGCAGTATGTTTTGGCCCTGACCTAGGACTCAAATTCCCACTGACGTGGCAAACAGGACTGAAAGGTGCTTCCTGGGCCATCAGTTCCAGTCCCTTTTATTTGCAGGCAGCCATTTACCCAAGGAATTTGCAAAATTCCGATTTGAAATCCTCACATACAACTACAAGGAACAATACCTGAATATTATGTATATATAACATGCCGCAGGTAAAAGCAGAAGAGACAAAAAAAACTGCCAGTGTATTGTTGCTGCAATACCATCACAATTACATGGAATTAATTGATTAATTAATGCTCAGAAGATTCTAGGAAAAGGATCATTCCCCGTGATACTGCCCATCCCACCTGCCCAACCCCCCCCGCCATGCTTTTTACCAGTCTGACCTAGAAGAAAAACTCCATCCTGACTCCAAATTTGTCTATCAATATGACCCTGAGTAGAAGGGCAGGAACTTTTAGTCAAGATCTCTGGGCTGTCTAGCTACTGGTGGAAGCACCTCATTGCACCTCAGCCAGAGTCCCTAAGCTTCAGGAAAGGCAAAATAGAAACCCAGAAGCCAGTACTGTTAATGGCGGGGAAGGGGAAATTTTACTTTCTGGTTACCACCAGTAAGAGCCAGACACCTATCACACTTGACTTGACTGGGCATTGGATCAGGAGTTAATCCCCTGGTTAGTAGGGCTGTGCAAAGCTTTGGTCCCTGATTCGATTCGGCAGAGATTCGACTTGATTCAGTGGCTGAATCTCTGAATCTGAAATGAATTGGAAGACCCTTTAATTTCTCCAAATCTAATCGGAACCTTCTGAATGAATTCGGAAAGATTGAGAGATTTGGACATAGACACAACTTTAAATGTTTTTTCTACATACCTCTAGGTAGCAGGTGGCTCATGAATGCTACGATGCTGGGGTGCATGGAGTGTCCCATAGAAGCCAGGGGGAGCTCCCCAGCGTGCTCAGCAGCAGACCCGGAAGTGGACCAGAAGCATTTCTGATTCTGATTCTGGGTCTGCCAGGAAGCTCACTGGGTGCCCCTCACCCCGCACCTCCCTGACCAGTGACTGGTGCCTCCTGGGTTGGGGGGGGGCACCCAGGGTCCCCCCAGGAACAATTGCCAAGCCGAGGGGCACGGGGGGGCCCCCCAGCGCACTCCCCAGTGGACCTGGAAGTGGACTGGAAATACTTCAGGTCCACTTCTGGGTTTGCAGCCGAGCACATGGAGGGCCCCCTGTACTGCTGTGGGATGCTCCATGTACCCCAGCATCTCAACACTCACAAGCTGCGCCTGGTACCTTGAGGTATGTAGGAAAAACGTTTAAAGCTGTGCCTGTGTCCGAATCTCTGATTCTCTGAATCAGCATCAAATCTTCAGATTCGGATTCAGCCAAATTGAATTGGGGACAGTGATCCAAATCAACGAATCAAATCACTGTCCCTGATTTGGCCAAATCCAAATTGAATAGGGCCCGCTTTGCATACCCCTACCGGTTAGTGGATGTTTCATGTTGTTTTAGGGCCATTATCCCCACTTCTGATTATACCCAAAAAATGAATCCAAGAAGCTATCACCTACATATAACAGCTATTATTTCTTCCGTGAACAAAGAATTGGCAAGGCCAGGTGCCACAACAATATTGTAACCAATGCTGAAATGTCTGAGCAGCTTATCTCCCTATTCTCCTATTCCAGACACCTCTTAATATAGCACCTCAGCAACTCTGGACAAATCAGGTCCCACCTCCCTGTCAAACTAGCAATAACAGACCTGCACATATGCATCTTTTTCCCAGAGCCTCTCGATACTCTTCCATCTTCCTACTTGATTTGGCTTCATATATACCAAGTTTTTGTGCTGCACTGTGTCTGTCCTCATCACTGCCTGGGAAAGATTGTGTTGAACATAAACTGACATTTGAGGTATATCATTTATTTTAAAATATACAAAATAGTTTTTTAATGGTTTTCATAAATGTCATATGTGGGGCTGCATAAATCTTGGTAGCTGTGACTGGTTGGGTAGTGATACGGTGCAGTTTTCATCTTGCATTTTCTTAGATTGTGACTTCTAACTTCAAGTGTTTGACAAAGAAAAGTGCAGAACATGGAAGTTGCTATAAAGTAGGAGGCTAGGTACTAAAGACACAAGTGCTGTAGCTGTCTATTCAGGTGCATTAGCCCTGGGATTAGGGGCCATGACTCCTAGAAATCTGAAGCATACTTTAGAAGAGAATTAAAAAAAACCCCAGAAAATCTCACATACATTCTCTTCTGTGATGCTACAATGGAGAAAAAACGTTATGACCAAGTGGGTTCTGGAAATACTTTTGTTGCTTGTCAGTCACTTCCAGGCATTTACTGCACTGTATCAAGTCCTTGAAATACAATATACCAATAGCTGCTGCTTGTAGCTTGTAGTTTTTAGCCCTACAGTTATAACATGTTTTTTCCCAATTGGGTCTGAAATTGGAGGAAAAAGTTACATGACTTGTGAAGAAAGGTAAATTAAGGAAATGCTCCCAGGGAAAAGTAAATAAAGGACTGTGGGCCTTTGTTCTATGACCTAATGCACAGTTCTATGGTGAGTGCTTTTTTGCTTTTAGTATCTGAAAAATATCATACAAGGGACAATTAGAGTAATCCACACAGGGTGCTCCTTCCTATACAGTTTACTCTGGAAATGAGGAGTCAGATTAAAGTATCTGAAACAGGAGGCATACCAGCCCTAGCTTTAATCTAGCTAGCACATGTAATAACTGTAATGAAGATGTAATGCAGGGGTGGGCAATTATTTTGGGCGGAGGGCTGCTTACCGAGTTTTGGCAAGCTGCTGAGGGCTACCCTGCCCCTTGACAGGTGCCCTACCCCCTGGTTACCATCTTGGGACCAGAAGTCCCACCCCCTAACCCCTGACCTTTACCACTGGAAGTCCCTCCCCTTGCCCACCCAGAAGTACTGCTTTCAGCAAGAGTTTGCCATCTCAGAACCAGAAAAATGCTAAATTATATTCTAAAAATCAAACATCTAGTACAACATTCATTAATGTGATTTCAGAAAAATATTTTTGTCCTGATTTACGTGTTTGTGTAGTGTACATAGAGGTGATAGCTTAAAATGAAGTCTTACTCTTGTGTATTGTGGGAGGGGGGCGGGTATAGGTTTGTGGTGTGTGGCTATGTGGGGGAGGGTGTGGGTGTGTGTGGGGTTTGTGTGGGGTAGATAGGCATGGGGGTGGTGTGTGTATGTAGGGTGGGGGAGCATGTGGGTGTGTGGGGTTTGGGTAGATATGGGGTTTGTGGGGCACTGTAAGCATGTGAGGGAGGGTGGTTGGGGAGGATTGTGACAGGTGTGGAGAGGGAGGATTTGCCCACAGCCTCCCTGTGGCAAGCAGAGCTCCCACAGTGTTCCTCCAAGACTGGGCTCCTGCTCCTGCCCCTGGGGCACCAGTGTAGCCCTGTGCTGCTGCTTGCTGCCACTTCCTGCCCCCCATCTGCCACTGCTGACCTTCTGCTACTTCCCTTTCCCCCCCAGCTCGCCTCTCCAGCACCATGTCCCAGTTGCATGGTGGAGACTACAGGATGCAGCAGGAGCTAGACCAGCCCAGCTGGCACCTCACAGAGCCAGCTGAGAATCTCAGGGGCCAGACCAGTTCCTGCTGTGTCCTGTGGCCCAGCGCTGTAGCCAGGTACCACGTGGTGCTGGAGCAAATGGTGGGGATGTGGAAGGGAGCATTGGCAGCAGCAGGAAAATGGCTGCAGCAGGTGCTGGTGAGTGGGAGCAAGTGGGCATGCAGAGGGCAGTAACAGCTAGGTGGGAGAGTGGGGCCCGTGTGGTACACTGGGGCCAGTGCTGGCAGGGCCCAGAGCGGGGTGGCAGGAGCATGGGGCACAGGCTAGCAGGGCTCTCTGGAGCCAGGCCAGGCTGCACCAGCAGGGAGAGAGAGAGCTGGCCAGGTTCCAGAGCCCCTGCCAGCCGAGGCCTCACACTCCTGCTGCCCCACTCTGGGCCCCACTGGCCCTGGTCCCGGGACACTGCATGGG